TGGATAGAATTAGGACGGGGATACTCCTAGAGCGGCATGCACCTCCTTAATAAAAGGGTGTGAGGGAAGTCGTAAGTCATGCTCCAAGTGGGCCAAGTACAGCGACACTCGACCCTCGCCATGGCAGTACACTGGCTCGATCATCTTTAGCGTCACCAATGTGAGAGTCCGAGGAATATTATATTGATCATATAACCCCACCGGATTGTCCATATGGACCTTTGAGCAGATAAGTAGAAGAATAGCGAGTCTCTCCTCACTACGGCCAGAGTTTGAAACTTGGGAGGCCATGAAAGACTTTTTCTTAAAAAAGCATGGAGGAATATCAGGAATTTGCCAAAGTGAAAGTTTGTAAAAGAAATATCTTAACATCAAGAGGCCATTTATAAACTTTCAAGGAAGAGTACAGAAGGATTTCAAAGGGCGTGATTATTTTCGAAGCAACTAGGCTAGATCCACTTTGGAATCTGAAGCGGTTCATTTGAAATACGAAGCGCTACCCTCATTTAATGCCCCAAGTTCTAATACTCAAAAAGAGGAAGATCCTCCATTATGTCCATGACGCTTCGTCTGCCAAAAAGATGATTCAGATATTTGATGATGTCAGCCATGAATAGCAGAGTTAACAATGGGTGCCTAATAATGACAAGCAACGTCTCTAAGACAGAGACTTCTCAGTTTCTCATCCTCAGCATGCTTGTATTAATCAGAGTATATTTTATTTCTCTTGGAGCCGACTAAAAGCCGACTCTAAGCGAAAGTGGCCAACTATTGGTGTTTACTCACCCAAGATATAATATTTGCAAAATGATATAATAAGAGTCCTAGCAAAATAACCTCAACCGTTTGGCTTGTTGCTACAGTCGTCTTTCGGTCTTAGGGTAAGGAAAGACCTAGTCAACTCTCAAGAGTTCTAGGCGTATGACTCCTCAGTCAGATTCCAAGCCCTTAGTACCTCTTCAAGGTAAACTCAAGGCACAACATATGGTCGAATCGTCCAGTACAACTCGACCATCATTACTAATTACAAAACCTTGTTACCTTATCAGGAATAAACCCAAGGCATAATCACAGAGGCCTCGACCTCGCCGACTCATCAAGCTAACACTCTTGTGTCGACACGAAAGGCGATGTCAGTCGATACTACCATTGAGGACGACCCTACTTAAGGCACTCAACCACTCATTGGGCCATTCTTGGGGACAACTTGAGTGACATTCCTTGTTGTCGGCTAAGTTAAGAACCCAACTCCGGTCTCAAGCCTCTCCCTCAGAGCATATATCAACATTTCAGTCCACCTCAGAGAAGCCTTATCCAGATTTGGCCTGTTAGTCTTCGTGACATGTCAGCTACCCACGTGCCTCCTACCACACTCTCAATCACTTCCCAAAAAATACGGAGACAACCTCTCCCGTGCTGAAGTGACTTCCTTCCAGTCGCCACCCGACACCTATAAAACGAGGGATGATTCAGTATACTAACGTGCCTCCTGCCATGCTCTCAATCACTTCCCAAAAAATGTGGAGATATCTCCTCCCATGCTAAAGTGACTTCCTCTTCAGTCATCAGCCGACACCTGTAAAGCGAACGACTCTCCTAACATAAAAAGGAGAAAAAAAGCTTAAGCAAAGGGTGAGACTCAGACCCAACTTCCTCTCACCTTAATCTATTGAAAGAGAAAGAACACACAGTTCTTCGTTTAGACAGAGGAGCTCACATAGATCCTTCGGGCATGCATATTGCTACTTTAAGAACCACATCGGTTCCTAACCTTCCCCTTCCCCACTCGAGTTTCACAAACTTGATCATTGGACGAACCATGGGGAAACCGGTCCCCACCCTCTCACGATTTCTTCTTATCTGTGTAGTGTGGACATAAAGCCCCCGTTCAAGAACCAGGCATAAAGTCGGAGAAGGGAGAGGGCCCTCCATCATCCTTCATCACCCCGCAACCATCCCCTTCTAGATTATTCTGTGTGATATTCAACATCAACAATAAGCACTCAAAAGAATTGTTGAATACACATTTGATACTTAGATTTCAAAAGTAATGGTGAGCATAAACTTACTGAGTCCAACAAAAGATCCTTTAGTTTGTCTCTCTTGTCCTGATGGTATTAATTTAGTTTCGAGAGCGGCCGGAACTTTCTAAGAGATGGCGATCACTGATCCCGCTTCGTCAATTGACTTGGTGGCTGGGACCTCCGCTGACATCGGATCTGAGCTAATAAAGGTCTTGGGTTGGGAAGGAGATGGTTGAATTTTAGCTCCAAACTTGAAGAACCCAAGTCTTTAGCATGTTCTAAAGCCCCTGAGGCTGTAGTTTTATCAGCACCAGTGGTCGGTCCTATAGTTGAAATTCCCATATAGTCATTTGAAATTAAGCAAAAAAAAGGACAATTGGGTCTCGAGAATAAAATCCATACTTACAGATGAACTAGCTTCAACAGCTGGTCCTGTAGCCTCACTAGGAGCTTTCCCCTATAATAAGTTGGAGATCAACTTATGGTCATCTTCAGAAATGTTCATATCGAGGGTGTGTTCATCAAAATCCCCCACCTCAACTTCATGATTGACTTCATCTTCAGCTGGCTCCTTCATCACAACATCTACAGAACCAACCAGATCGTGATTCAAGTGCGGATGGGTGCGTACGCACTTTGGGATCGAATGGGTTTTATTGCAAAATTTCCTCCGCTACAGCTGTTTCCCATCCTCCGCCCATTTATTTCAAAGAAATCTTATTCTCTCTCTCAGATCTGATCTCGTTCTCCCAAATCCATCTCTCTCTCCCCAAAAAACCAATCTCAAATCCCTTCTCCTCACTCCGTCGTCGACCGCCGCCAACCCGACGAAGTTCGTGCTCTCGTCGTCGATCCCTGCCGACGAAGTTCCTGCTCTCGTCGTCGTTCAGATCTCAAGTCCTGCTCACAAATCTCGTCGACGAACGCTCCTGCTCTCGCCGTCGACCGCCGCCGACGGAGATCCGTCGCGAACTCCTCCAGACGAACTTCTCCAGACGACCACCGTCGTGCCGTCGAACTTCCTCGAGCCGCCGACCCGACGAGATCTCGTGCCCAACTCCCCCAGATCTCGTTCGTGCCCAAAAATAGGGATTCGATGCCGCAGGTATAGATCTCCATCAAAAAAATTGAAATTGTCATACTATCCCTTTTTCCCTATTTGTTAATTGGGATGGCATTCAAGTTGAAAACTTTACAGTTATAAAAGCTTCCGATTGCTGATGTTGCGTAAATGAGAATAAAGTCGAGCAAAATAGACAGATTAGGGATTATGATTTGGGGTGATTTATTCAATTTTGCTATATACAGCCATTAACAGGACTTGAAAATAAATATTGTTTGAATTTAGGAAATGATAATGTGATTTATTCAATTTCTGTATTGACATGTAACATTCTGTCAATATATACTCATGTAGGCACGCCCATGTCACACCTCTTTAGTAATATAATCAACGATTATCTCTAGCTATAACTTGTTGACATTTTTGTTCGAAGGGAACATATAAATAGGAAATCTGAAAGCAACCCTTCCCTTCTTATTAGAGATTATGGTTTATGCTTAATGGCTGAACACTAGGGGGTGATTACACTAGAGTTACTAGCAGCATGCAAGCTGGTAGTTGTATACCATTCATGGGGGTATTGAGGGATAATTTGAGGATTTCATTATCCCCAAGAGTGACATAGAACTTCCCTCAAGCAGTTCTGAGATGATCTGTTCTCTTCATTACAATTTACTCAGAAAAAGTTTTCCTATGTCTCTTTCCAGTACATGTTCATGTTAAATTGCTCAAAATTTGTAGATTGAAATGGCTTCATCATCAACTGTGGAAAGTAACTCATGAGTTGAAGTGGATATTAGATTCATATTGAAACAATGCGATTGGGGAGAATTAGAGGACGTGAAGATAACGAAGTCGAACAAGAACAAGAACCGTGGTAGAATTTACTACTCGTGTAAAAGGCAAAAGTACGGTTTATTTTTGGGCTGGTGCAAGATTTCATCAATTGAACAAAAACCATTCGTCATTGCCCCACCAGAGGCTCGTGAGTTGGTTGTTGTACGTGAAAAAGTGTTGTGGAAATGGCTAACTATTATAGCCTTTTTGTTGTCTTTTTGTTTGGCCATGAAAGAAACTATGTGATGTAAACGATTTGTGGGAATGAAACAAGACTTTGTAACTGTTGTTGTTTAACTGCTGTTGTTTTAACAATTGTCATCGGCTAATGCAATGAAAAGTTAAAGTTTAACCGCTGTTGTTTAAATGTAGACTAATCAGTTCCCTCCCTCATCAATGTCCCTGACCACTACCACCTGAGTTTCAGAAGAATGGAGATCACGGCTGTCTTGCTTCACATAAGTTTGCGTACCAAAGCTTCTAGACCAACAATATAGCTAATAGAAGTGTGGAACTCTTATTGTTCGCAGAACTGTCCAGGATAAGTCCACTTCGATGGTGTGGACAAAGAAAATACTACTTACAATAAGTCCACTTCGATGTTTTTGCTAGACCGTGCTCAAATGACCTGTACCACAGGATGAAAACAAGGCTAAAATACAAAAATATCTACACATCCAAAAACATGCTAAGCATCCCAGTTTTTGAATTTCCAAACCATAACAGCAATAACAAGCTAAGCATCCCACTTTTGACAAATACAAATTCATTTTTGAAACAAGCCAGCAACTTTGACAATTCTTACAATCCTTACAAGTTACATCAACAAACCATAACAGCAATAACAAGCTAAGCATCCCACTTTTTGCTGCTGCATCAACAGCTTTTCAACCATCAACCTCTGCCCTAAACAGCTGCTGCATCAACAACTTGCATCAACAACTTCTGTACACAATAGCCAATGCAATGAATAAGTCATTTGTTTTTATACACTTAGCCTATGTCTGTTATTATGAAAAGATAAAGAATTGAGTATAAAGGGGCTTACTTCTTGTTAAAACAAATTTCAACACCACTCCTCGGGTTCATTCAAAAAGATTCACATCCTCCCCATCTTCACTTGATATCTCATTACCCTCTTGCAAATTCACATCAACGCATGTAGAAGACCTACATTATGTTAAAAAAAATATATACATCAAGAGAAATACTAGAATATGAAAAATAAGACAACATAAAGAATAAAAGAATTATTACTTACGGATTTGTGAGTGCTGGACAATTTCGCTTATCATGTGATTGGCCTACTTTACCACACCCGTGACAACGTCTCTCTCTTTTATTCTTGATTCTAGCCATTGCTTTCTCTTTTCCTCCTTTCAACCTTTTGCCGCACCCCTTTGCCCGCACTTGATTGGGTTCATTGAAACTACTTTGAAAAGTGCAAGAACCATGCGCACTTGTACCATCACCATCACCTATCATATTACTACCTATTGAATTACTTTTCTCAGTGAAGCTCATTACAGCCATGCGGCTACTAAGAAATTGAGTTATTTGCTCATTAATGCTTCGCAACACATCGGTAAACATCGTCCTTGTTTCTTCACATACGAGGGACTTGTCAACTAAATCCAAAGATGATTGGATAAATTGACTTCACGTTAAAAAATAAGAATTGTCAGAGGTTATCTGCATGCCTTTATTATCAACCATTGTCCCTGATTTTGCAGACTTAGTCCACCTCTTTAAGATGTATTTATCGGGCAATATTTCAGCATCAAACTTCATCAAATATGAGATAATGTGTGTACATGGGATTCCGGCGCTTTCGAATTTTTTACAACTACAATAAACCAAATCCAAGTCCTTGTCATAAACGATTTCGCGGACTTTACTTCCTGCAAGCTTCTTTCTTTGAATTTGATACACACAGTGATTGTCGGTTTCCCTAACACATTGCAACTTGTAGTTAAAGCTATCACACACTTCAGCCTCAAACTTATAGTACATCTCATTTGTGTAAATATCAACCATTTGCTCCAAAAAGTCATGATTTATTCTAAGTTTAGGTTTCTCAATCAAGTCTTTGTGATCGGCCATCAACTCCTCGTGACGTTGGCGCACTAGTCCCCTACCAAACTGAATCATGAAATCCACCAATGAATTATTCTTCGAAACAAATTTCTTGAAAAATGCATGTCCACTTTCTGCTCGTTGACTACTTGACATGTCAGCTGAGAA